CCTCGGGCCGAGCTCACGCCGCCCTCCGCGGGGACGCCCCGGGGCCGCCTCCTCCGGGCGGCGGATGCCTGCAGTCGTCCGCCGTCACACCTGTGTTACGCGGCGGCGGGGCACTCACGCCACTCAAAGGACCGTTTTACGCACTTGTTTACTGCGTTCCTGCAGGAGAAGGGAAGCTCCATGAGGACAGGACCTGGCGGTTGGTCTGCCGGGTGCCCAGCACACTTCAGGAGCCCAGTGAACATCTGCTGCACAAGCGAATGGAAGCGCTCCCCCAGCTGTGATGGGACAGGGCTTTGCTTGCCTTCTGCTGGCCTCCTGCTGCCCGTGGCCCACTTTTGTGCGGCTGGGGCATGCGGGGGGCCGCCGGGGCGGAGGTCCTTCCCCCTGCCAGAGCAGCCTGGACCCAGAGTCAGGGCAGGCCCAGTGCGCCACGTGTGCTGGTGGCAAGCCAGGGCCCTCCGGGAAGTGCAGTTTTATACTTTTTATGGTTTTCTCCCCTGCTTTCCCCACTGAAGTGCCAGCGTCAAAGGGCAGTGGGGACCATGTCAGACTTTCCCAGTCCTTTAAAAACGTGTTGAGTAACCGTGTAGTAGATATGTGCTTGGCACTGGAGAGACAAGGAATGACCAAGAGACAAGTCCCCTGGCATCATAGAGCTTACCTTCTCCTGGGGGAGGCTGGGTGGGGGGCAGATCAGCAAACGAGAATATTTCAGGTAGTGGTAAGTTCAGTGAAGGAAATACAACAGCTGATGTGATGAGAGTATTCTTAATGTGGGATGGCCGGGTCTGCAGGGACCGCGGGCGCTCGGCCCTCAGCAGGTGCTCGGTAGATGTCTGTGGGATGAGTGCTGGCCAGAGTTTATATGTATTGGCAGGAGGTAGTATAGGGTAACTTACCCAAAGTTATCCAGTTGGCAACGTGGCACATTTGAACTCAGACTTTAGGGCTCACACTCTTTAACAGTTATGCTGTCTGACCCCTGGGACATAATCCAGAACTGTGGCTGTCACTTTGCCTCCTGAAATAACAATGTGAAATGCTTCCAAAGGGTATAAAGAACTAAAGGTTTTCCAGTTAAAATAAAACAAACAAAAAAACCCCACAGATCTAACCAGATTGTAGTTCTATGACAGTACTTTGGCTTGGGTGATGTTCTCATGGCCTTCTCGTAGAGCAGCCAGCCTGGGAAAGGAATCCAGGTAGCAAAAGTGAGGGTGGAGGGCGACGGTTTCCACTTGAATTGCCCCAAGTTCTCTACCCCAGAAGCATGGTTGAGCTACTCCTGAGTACTGGCAACTTTCATTCATTTAGTTCACAAACATTTACTGAGTGCTTGTTCCACGTGTCTGATACTAGGGAAGACGGATTACATTCTCCCTCAACCCCCCACCCCAGAACTTAAGTCTCGGGAAGGAGGCATATGACAGAATCATCCAGGACAGTACAATGATAGAGGGTAATCACAGTGTTTGGAGAGCAGTAAGAAGGTCAGTTCCTATAAAGGTGTCATTTGAGCTGAGTTTAAAAGTCAAAGGAAACGGACTAAAAGAAGAAATGCTGGGGAGTATGTCAGGCAGAGGAAATCCCACAGATAGAGGCAAGAAGACTGAGATGACTGGGCCCCTTTGGGGCGCCACTAGGAGTTCTGAATGACAGCAGCAAAGAGCGTTGGTTAGGGTTGCAAGGCGAGGTAGGAGATGAGGCCGGCTAGAAGATAGGAGTAAGATCCAAGGCCTTCTGTGCACAGACACAACCAATATCCAAGTTCAAATTGTGTTTCTTTTCCTTAGCTAGTCTTTCCTTGATTGATACCCACTACCCCACCCACCCCCCAGTACATACACTCCTCTAATATTTTATGGGAA